ATTATGTCCGCCTCTAGCCTCCCCAGCTAGGTCCTTGGAGGTGGCATGCTTCCTGCACCTGAAAATGATATTCCCAGAGGAGATGTTTTGGCACAAATAAATCCCATCCTTACAAAAAAGGATAGGAGATGGCTTTGCCTCAGATCTTATATTCTCAATGCAGGTGAAGTAAATAAGACCCTTTTAATTTTGAAATCTCTTATTTATTTATACAAAAGATTAAATACTTTATCAAATTACATTTGACATATATATATTCACTTTCTTTTACATGTTGAACAGAAATCGTGGAATTCTTCTTCGTGGATACAACTCCATTCCGAGATAAATACTTTACTGAGACAGACCATACTTACGACTGGCGAGGCGTGCTTCCTAGGAAGGAATACCTCTCAAATCTCTTGAAGGTGAATTGATACTAACATGAATAGCTGGTTCCTACGCACATTATATTACTTGGCCTAAGAAAACTTTTTTTTTTCTTTTGTTTCTGAAATGTTTATGAAACAAAAAATTAGGTTGGAAAAAATCAAATGCCAAGTACATATGCTAAAGAATTGAGATGGGTACTCTAATGTGAAATAAATGAACATTTTTTTGACCATTGATTTGTTATAGGATGTGGATTCAGCCATAAGTGAATCAAGCGCAAGATGGAAAATTGTAGTTGGTCACCATACTATGAGAAGCGCTGGAAAACATGGTGACACAGTAGAGCTCGTAGCCAAACTTCTCCCAATACTTCAGGTAATATTACAAACAATGAAGTTTCAACTTTTTGCCTATGAAAATTATGCTTCAAGCTCCAATATTTAGTTACCTAAGTGATCCCATATTAATTTCTCAGGCAAACAATGTTGATCTTTACATTAATGGACACGACCATTGTTTGCAACACATCAGTAGTCCTGACAGGTAACATTTATACTAGTCAAACTATTATAAGATATAGTTGAACTTTTGAAAACAAGAGAAATGGCTTGATTAAAAGTTACTAAATTGGCTCAAATTCATAATCTTATACTATGATTGTTTGCAGTCCACTTCAATTTTTAACAAGTGGTGGTGGCTCGAAGGCATGGAGGGGTGATGTCAGTTGGTGGGATCCAAAGGAAATGAAGTTGTACTATGATGGACAAGGCTTTATGACTCTCCAAATTACTCTAAACGAAATTGATGTTGTATTTTATGATATTATTGGCAATGTTTTACACAAATGGAGTGTAACCAAGCAGGTTTACGCTGCTGAATAGAGAGGGTCACAGGAAAGGACATGCACTTGCAGATCTTATTTAATTATTATGTTTGTTGTAAAACTTAAATTAGTCATGGGGGATACGTAAGTGAAACTTATTATTGTATAATGGTTTGTTTAATAGATCGGATTGTTGTATTGAAAGTAATTTTCTCATTGCTAATTGCTAGAGATAAAATGCTGGCTAAAGCTCTATGTTTAATGGTGTACCTAAATGATGACTAAATTTTATCACCATACAAGTATGCAAACTATCCATCAAAAAAGTATATGTCTGTAGACACCTCATTTTTGACCGACCTTAAGAGTCAGACGTCATCGATTGAGCGCTCAGTGATGACACATGTTGTGCTCGTTCTGAGGTTACAGAGTCTCGGCTGAGAGCCTTGCCTTCGGACTTCGGGACTCTTTTGTGCTTTGCCTCGGTTTGCGAACCAGGTTCTGTTTTCTTTTCCCGAAGGGAGGGAGAGGTCTCGTAGACCATCTCTCAATGGTCGTAGGCTACGTTTCGTGGTCGTAGACTACTGTTCCCGTTTGGAGACCAGTTTCCGGTTTTCGGAGCCGTCGGCCGTGCGCCTCGGTTCAGAACCGCTTAACTTTCTCCGTTTGCTCCGGTTTTTGGTACACACCTTGTTTCCTCTCTCTAGAGGGACACTGTGGCCCAGGAGACCACCTTCGTGGTCGCACGCCACTTTCGATGCTTAACAACCTGTTTTCGGGGCACCCGGTTGCGCGTTTTGGCCCTCGAACCCTCGTTTTGCATTCGTCTTGGTTCATTTTTGGCATGGACCTTGTTTTCATTGTTTGGGAGGTGGTACAAGGGTGGGAGACCACATTTTCTCCTTGGAGATCACTTTTCTCCCATCAGCCGATTTTCTTGACAGGTAAGTGGTCTCTCTCACTTTTGGGGCACAATTACTGGTTTCCCACCACACCACTAGCTTGCATTCACTTGGGAGACCACCCTAGGAGGCCACCGACCAGCTGAACCTTTTGACCCTGGTCGGCCAACCAGGGGCAGTGGTCGGCCGACCACCTGAACTGGTCGGCCAGCCTTCTCCTTTTCTGTCTCACTGAGTTGATGCCAGCTGTGCCAACTGGAAACCTCAGATTGCATCCTCCGTATGGAGGATATTTAAAGTTGGTTTTTAGCTTCTTAGAGAAGCTTTGAACCCTCTTGGCTATAAGAGAGGGCCTCTCCCTCACTTGCAAGGGTTCAGAATTTGTTTAGATGCATACAAGTTGTATCTCTCTCTTTCTCTCTATTTTTGCTTCAAAAGACCCTTGTTCTTGCCCCCTTTACACACCACCTCACAACCACACACTTCCTCCATCACCCTAAGGTTCTTGGAGCTGATTTTCAGAGGTTGAAGGCCTGCATTTTTGGTCCATAAGCTGCTGGTGCTTCTTGGCTACAAGGTAACACATTTTTCCCTCTTTTGGCATTATTTTGCTTCATATTTTAGCTTTACTTGCAAGCATTTTCGAGCTTTTTCATAAACTGAAAAAAGTCTTATTTTGAGGTGCATTACATGTTTGTTTAAGGTCATTTTTCTGTTGGGGGTCATCTACCCTCTTGCATGCTTGTTTTCACCTTGTTTTGAGCCATGCACTTAAGCCTTTGCATTGGCCTTTGTTGGCCCTTTTGAACACTAAAATCCAGTGGATTTTTAGTGGTTATTATGTGTTTTTGAGCATCAAAATCAGAGAGGGGTGACCCTCTCACCCCTTGTCTTGTTTACTAGCCTTGTTGGCCTTACAAAGGAGCCGCTATTTGCATGTTTCAAAGCCATGTTTCAGGCCATTTTTGGTGAGTTTTAGGACCTACATAACCTCTGTCCAAAGGTGGTTTTGCCATTTTTGGTGTCCATCATGCATGTGTAGAACAACCCTCTTCATGGCATATCAAAAGAGCCTATCATTCTTGCATGCATGGACCATGTTTCAGTAGGTTTTTGGGGTTTATTTGGCATGTCATACCTCTGAATGTTGCTGGTTTGGTGGCCATTTGATTGCCTCATATACTTGTAGTGCAAATCCTCTTTACTAGCTTGTGTTGCATGCCATTTTGGCCATTGATTCTAGCACTTTTTGGCCATATTTTAAACTGATTTTGTGCATGTTTTGGACTGCCTTAGCTCTGTTTTTATGTCTCATGGTCAAATAATGCTTGCTATGCATGGTTGTAGTTCAATACCCTTGCCTAGTTTCGAGTTTTTGAGCATATTACATGCTTGTGTTGAGGTGTTTCCATGATTTAGGGTCATTGTGCATGTCATTTCAGACCTCATACTTGTGCCATGTTCCCATGTTTTTCACTCCTTAAGTGCATTTGAGAGTTGTGCATAAATGCCTCGTTTTCGGACCATTGCATGAGCCTCATTTCTTCGCATGTTGAGCCATCATTTTAGACCATATTCACTACTGTTTTGGTCTGCATGGGAACTATTTGGGGGTGGTTTGGCCATTTGTGCATTGTTTTGTGTACCTCTAGTGTAATCTGCTTCACTAGTTTCGGTATTCAGGCCATCTAGCATGCATCGTGTGAGTTGTTTACATGATTCGGGACCATTATGCATCATGTTTCAGAGCTGGAAAATGTATGATTGCATGCCATATTTCATCCCTTGCCATGCTTTGGTAGAGTGGCATTTGATGCCTTAGGATCGGTCCCTTGCATTGGTACATATTTGCATGTGTTTTGTTGTCTAATTCCGTCATGTTTGGCCACTGATTTGAGTGTGGCTGAGGCCCACTCATATTAGTTTAAGTCCATCTTGCATTGTATATGCCATTTAGTCCACGTTGTTACATGCTTGACCATTGCATTGTACATGCCTTGATCATTCCATTGTTAGTCTCCATGTGTGCATTGCGTATGCCATATAGTTTTCATGTGCATTGAGTATACCATTGATTATTTCATAGCATTGTGTATGCTAGCAGCATGTTTGCATATCATCATTTGCATGTTTGCATCATGTAGTGGCATTATGTTTAGGTTGCATGTTAGAGTTGCATTCATGCATGCCTTGTATATTACATTGTGTTTGGAGTAGGGTTTAGTCCAAACATGGGAAACGAGGGATGTTTCGTACTCCAAGTGACGAAACATGCCTCGATTCCCGGTCGCCGACACTCCGGATTACCCATGATGGAGTTTAGGCCTCGTTGTGTTTATGTGTGCATTCATTTTCCATCGAGTCGTGCAATCCGACTCCTCGGCCATCATGCATCGAGATGCGTGATTGGTGGCACGAGGATCAAGGACTACACTCTCTAGAGCTTGTGCAATGATGGGGAGAGTGGTCGTGCATATATATGTTGAAGATACCTTGTCATGCCCCTTTCTTGCTCTCTGTTGCAGCAAAACCGGAATCCAGCAGCAAAAACTAGTCAAGCAGTCTTCTGGAGCTTTGTACAATATTCCGAGACCAGTCGCAAACAGAGGCGAATCGGGGCATCGCAATGGATTTCCCGACAAGACGGCCCGAGCATGCATACATCTCTATCATTCGGAACAGAGCTGAGGCAGTTCGTTTTATTTAAATTTGCATGCTAGTTCATTTATCTTAGTTAATTTGTTAATTAATTAGGGTTGTGTAATAATTAGCCGTAATTCGTTATTCATTCGGTTATGTATTATTATTTATTCAGACCCTCCGAGGAGGGCAATATTGTAATAAGTGTGCATATGTGTGATGTATGTCTTCCAACCCCACGTCTTTCTCCCTTTTATTTACCAGCTTATGATGGTTAGTTTAGGGCATGTTTCAATTAGCATACTTATGTTCGCATGTTTGCATTCATTCATCTATATTACATGCACCGGGCTTGGCGCATCATATTGTAGACGCACCCGAACGCCCCGGGAGGATGAGTCCCGTTCTGTTCATATTGGGTTCACTACAGTTCAGGACTCTCAAATTTGTCACGATTCTTAATCTGAACCAAAGAGTCCAACTCTGGCAAATCGTTTTGAGAAAAACAGATTTTTAGAAAAGAAGTGCCAAACATGGACTGCTTTGCCAGATACAGAGTCGTCACCTAAATATTTTATTTTGGGGAATTTAGGAAACCCTGACTCGGTGCCAAAGGCTACGTGTCCGTCATCACCAAAGCTGCCTCGGCTCGAGAACTTGGGTACGATTGGGGAAGGTCAGCTATAAACACCCTCTCTCACCCGATCAAAGATCGGCCTCTACTAACCGTGATATCTTATTTTGAAAGCATTATGTGTTCCTATTCTGGTTATTAGCCTAGAATTATTATGTTATGCGCACAGCAAACAAGTATAGACTAAGTCGCCTAAATTGGAACAAAACATTTCATGTTTGTTTATTTGAGAATGATTTGATGGTGCTACCCGTGAGTAGGCTAAGACATGGATTTTGCCACCCTCGAGTGGGCTTAGAAAATATGGTTTTGCCACTCTAAAATGGGCTTAAAATTCGCATCCAATGCATTGTTCCAATTTAAGTAACCCAACCTTCACCCACAGGCATTCAGGCAGTTATAACACGTAAGCACGTAGCCTCATGGTAAGCATGCTATAATGGCAAACACTCACACTC